CCTCAGCCGGCCGCAGCTCGCGGACGCCTGTCTGCCGCCCGCGGAGCGCTGAAGTCGGGGCGGAAAGCCGCAGGAGTCGCCGCGGGCTGCGCGCTCAGGCCCTTCGGCCTGGGGAGGGCCCGCGTCGGTGGAGAGGCGGCGTCGGAGCCGCCACTTCAACCCGACCGCGACGGGGGGAGCTCCGACGCGCGTCGCTGATCGCCTGACGAGGCCTTCGGGCGGCGGTGTGGGCGGGCGCGGGCCGAGGCCCAGGAGTCTGCCCCGGTGGAGCTTCCGCAGTAAGCCGTCCAGTCAGCCTCCAAGCCCCGTTCAGGTTTTTTCCCTTAAAGTTTTTATTTTTTTAAAGACTCACCTATGCATCCAAGAACTGGGGCACAGGCCAGAGGTGCCGGGGTGAGAGGACTCCCCAGCGACCGTGGGGAGTAGAACAGCTACATCACCTCAACTCCCCTGCTGAGGGGCGCGGCGCCGTCTGGAGAGGGCTGCTGCGCCGCGGGTCGCTCCCTGGCCAGGGATCGAGCTCGCAGCTGCGGTGACTCCAGATGGCTTCACAGCGCTGCACTTTAACCCCTTGCATCGCCAGGAGGGCCCCCTTTTCTGTTTTTGTGTGTTTCGTTGGTTTAAGACAGTGATGACAGATGTTCATGGCAGGACGCGACCCCGGGGGCTGAAGAGGACTTCACCTCAAGGCTGCCGAAGTCGAGTTTACTAATGGACTTGATAGTTTCCTTTTGAGCCCAACACAGTATCTTTTCATCAGGTATCACTAAATTGTTGGTTCCTTTGGATAAATTGCCATGGAACCTTCTCCAAAGCTCTTCTTTTTGCTTTGCTTTTTAAGTGCAAATTTTACTAGAACTGCCCTGCATTTCTGAATTTATTGCCCTAGGGGCTACTGTCTGCAGGAGCCCGGAGGTGAGTGAGCTGGGCACTGCAGAGGCGTCTTATTACATTGGGGGAAGGCAGCAAAGAAAGAAGAACCACATACTGATTGGCTACATTGAGTGCATGGGAACTTTTCTTAGTGTCAGGTATTAATCGTTGATGTGTTCTTTAGCCGGGGAAATGTCTGATGAGGAAATCAAAAAGAAGACACTAGCTTCAGCTGTAGCCTGTTTAGAAGGGAAGTCACCAGGGGAGAAAGCGGCGATCATACATCAGCACCTTGGGCGTCGGGAAATGACAGATATGATCATTGAGACCATGAAGTCCAACCCAGGTATGCTTTCTAGAACCCTAGGCGCTTGTCCATCCCTTACTGCCTGTTCCATGCATGTTGTCAGTGAGCCTGTGATTTTGACCTCTAGCATACTTTTCATCTGTCACTGCCAGTGTCCCTTGCATAAGGTTGTCAAGCAACATTTCAGCTTCTCCAATACTCCTCCCAAATTAATTCTTGGGATGACAAGTCTGTTAGCGAGGAGGAGCTGCTTGCCACTGTAGTCAGAGGCAGGTAAACATGCCCTGCATCCCCTGCTCTGACAGCTGACTCCAGCCAGGAGGAGTGGCGTGATGGTCAGAACTGGTAGGTTTGGTTTTCAAATTTAACAGCCCTAATGTTTTACCCTCTTAGGAATGCATGACGGAACTTTTGTCATGGCACTACCAAATATGAGAGCCCTCCTTGAGTTTCTGAGGGCCTTAAGATTTTGCTGGGGCAGAGAGTACTTGCAAGTTGAGATCCCTCCCAAATGTGCCTGTTAAGTGTCTGTGTCTGTAGTTCTTCATGCAGAACATGGCAATTTTTCTGTCACTGTTGAGTCTTCTGGCTTAAAATTTTAATCTAACTAGAATCCTTCCAAATATTCTTTATCTGTTTATAATCTGCTAACTTTTGATTTGTGAAAGATGAGCTAGAAGCCACCATAGAAGAAATGAAATCTTCAGAAGCTTCCCTCACTGCACCTAGAAGTAAGGATCAAAGTAAAGAATGCGTAAGCACTGCTCCCGATTCTCCATCCAAACAGCTTCCAGACCAGATCTCCTTCTTCAGTGGAAATCCATCAGTTGAAATAGTTCATGGTATTATGCACCTCTATAAGACAAAGTAAGAAAACACTTTCTCCTTTTTGTGTTGGTCTATTTCTTGCCTTGGGACAAAGAAAAATCTCTTGCTTGAAAGGAAATGGATTTTAGCTACTAAAGGATAACACTTTCTTAAATTATGTTTGAGAATTCTTCGATGTTTTACATTTGCTAAATCTTGTAGATTGGGTCAGAACTTCTTATAAAGGAAATATGTGTGGATATGCTTAAGAAAATAGCTAGCTACCCTGGGAAGGTAGGCTTGATGATGGCAGCAAATTTAAAGGAATGAAGATAGAAAGGAAAAGCTGCAAATGATCCCTAACTTTGTAGCATCATGTCCCCAGAAATCTTTAGTGAAGAGCTGCCTAAGAGTCCGTTCCTGGGTTGCAGTGTCTCACCTTGTCTTTTTTTTGTTTGTTTGTTTTAACCCTTTTCTGTGATCCAAACAAAGCTCACTAGAGGCCCAGGGAATGAATGCATTTGGCTCACTGATCTAGCCAGGTCCTCAGCTCCTGCGGTAATGAGTAGCTGTCCTTGCCCTGACTTGCTCGCCAGGTCCCCACTGGTAAAGGGAATACTCAGTTAGCCACTTTGGATCACAGCTGTTAAAAGTGGGTTTGCAGATGATCTTTTGGGAGGTTTTTCTTCCCTCTCTGTTCCAGCTATTCAACCCAGCAATACTTTATATCGGTAGGCCCACATGCTCGTGGTTCAGAATGCTTTCTCATTTAGAGCTTTTTTATCCTGTAAGCCCTCCAGTGGAAGGCCCCAGTAAAGTGGTGCTTCTAAATTACCTAATGCTAGATTGTTTTTCAAAAGCTACTGAGAATAAAACATAAGCAGCAGACTGCTGAGTGCAGACTAATAACCAGTGAAGATGAAGCATTTCCATGGGGGTGTGTTGTAGGCCGTGTCCAGGCTTCAGTTTAACGCCAGCGCAGTGAGCCCTTCCCACGGGGTGTGTATTTTCAGGTAAAGTAACGAGCTGCTTAAGTTGATTGGTGCAGTACTACAAGTTGCATTTTTCCCTATTTGGGGGGCATAAGAGTTGTCTAACTAGTGTTGTCTGAACTAACCATACCTCGTCTATCTGAGACAGTCTGATTGTTGTCTTACTAGTAAGATGACCTCCTTAAAAGAAGACGTGAGGCGCAGTGCCATGCTGTGTATCCTCACAGTCCCGGCTACCATGACCAGTCATGACCTTATGAAGTTTGTCGCCCCATTTAATGAAGTAATTGAACAAATGAAAATCATCAGAGACTCTACTCCAAATCAATATATGGTGCTGATAAAGTTTAGTGCACAGGTAAAAGTTAAGATATTAAAAATCTCTTTGCCACAGAAACTGTATTTTCGAAACTGTATGGTACTAGCTGTGTGTGATTTGTAACGTTTGTGCTTAAGGTTCTTGATATGTATTATCACTGTATGGTTGTCATTCTAGAAATATTTCTGAATGCCGTGACCGGAAACCCAGTTCTAATTCATACCCATAATTTCTTACAAATTCTTCTGGGTATGACATCTAGTGTTGTGTGTGTTTGTTTATCTAGTAGGAAGTATTCCAGTAGATAAGAGATCCCAAACATTCTGAGGTTGACACCAAATTATTTGCCACTATAACCCTGCGCCCTGCATCTTAAGTTCTCTTTTTAAAAGGTGTTCTTTGACTGGCACATTTTAGAAAATAATAAAGTCTAAGCATTTTATTTCTAAAATGTTGGTGACTAGAAAGATTTTGTGACATTGCTTTACTTGGAGTCCTGATTGGAAATCACTGGTTTTGCAGCCACTTCACTTTCCTTGTTCATTAAGCCACTCTTTCTGTGCACCTCAGTTTTAAAGATGTTAAAGAGACAGTCTCTTGGATTTTTTATGGATACATGTTTCTATACGAATGTAAAAATAAACTTTAGGTATTAGTTTATTAATGAGCTACCTTGTTCATAGGTTTCATTCAGTTTTTCTTAAAGATTTATTCATTTATGCACACAGAACTGGGGTGCAGTCCAGAGGTGCAGGGATGGTGAGAG